ATTCAGAGAAAAATTTTAAATACTATTTAAAATGACAAATGGAATAAATGTAATGAAAAGTATATCAGACCTCTATGTAAAATGCCATTAAATGTTTTTAAGGAAAATGTACAAACCTAAATAGATGGAGGGATACACTATGTTCATGGGTTGAAAGAATCATTATTGTCAATACGCCCTTCCTCTCCGCATTCATTTATAAATTCAATGCAATCCCTATCCAACTTCCAGTACATAACTTGTAGAAATTGATGAACCAATTCTTAAATATATATGGAAACTTAAAGGGCTCCAAATAGCCAAGATGTCCATGAAGACGAATAAAGTAAGAAGAATTAATCAAGTGAATATTAATTCTTACTATAAGCTATATATTTATAGCACTGTGATAATGGTACAAGGACAAGCAAACTGATAAATGGGACAGAATCGTAAAATGTGGAAACGGACTTATGTATATAAACTTGATTTATGACAAAGTTGACAGTGCAGAGCCATGAGGAAATGTTAGTCTTTTCAATAAATGACCCTAAGTCTACATGGGGAAAAAATGAAACTTAAACTCTATCTTACGTCATACACAAAAATCAATTCTGAGTGGGTTACAAATCTGCATGTAAAAAGTAAAAACAATACATGTATATAAAACATCCTAGTAAAATGTTTTAAACATTAAGCATAGAGAAAAAGATTGATGAGTTGGTATATATTAAAATTAAGACCATAGTACACCAAAAGACACTATTAAGAGTAAAAAGGCAAGCCACAGTGTGAGAAGATATTTAAAACTTATTTAATTGATGAAGGCCTTGAAGTCAAAATTTATTAAGAACTTTAAATCAACAAGAAAAAGACAACCCCCCCAAAATGGTCATATCATTAAGAGGGTATCCAAGTGTTTGACTAACATTCAAAAAGGTGATTCCTTTCTAATTTCATTTACAAAATGGGAAATGCAATGTAAACCACTACCAAACCCAGCAAAAGGACTCAAATGTGAAAGACTGACAACCCAAGTGTAGACATGTGGGACAACATAAACTTTTATATGCTCTGGTAGAGCATAAACTGGCACCAGTATTTTAGAAAACTGTTTGGTATTACATGCTACAATTTAATATATTACCATGTCCCAGTGATTCTAGTTATGTAACATCAGAAATGTGTATGCATGTGGCAAATGCTTAAGAATGTCTATAGTAATCTTACTCTCAGTAGCTTCAAAATGGTAATGACCCAAATGTCCAACAACAGTAGAACAGATTAAAAAATTCTGGTATATTCATTCATTGGACTGCTGTATAATGATGAAAAACAAATTACTGCTATATGCAATGGTATGGATAAATCTTGCAAATATAATGTTGCACAAAGAAGCCAGACACAAGAAATGCCTACCATATGATTCTACTACGCGAAGTTCAACAACTATGACAACAAAAGCAAACTTGGTTCCTCTGAGGAATGGGGATGGGCTAAGATTGCTAGTAACATTCTAGTAATGTTTTGTTTCTTTGACCTAGGTAGTGGTTACATGTGTTAAGTATATGATAATTTAATGACTTAAGATTTGTGCACTTACCTGTATATTTGCTACACTTCAATTAAACAGTGAAAAAATATTGTTGGATAAAAAAACCAAGATGCAAAATTAACAGTTAAGGAAAAATAATAATCACGGCTTTGTGCTGCAAAATATCACACATTGTACAGTGCTCCCCAGAGCCTCTTTTCTCCCTTTTCTCGAGCTTCCTAAAGAGACAACATTTGTACTTATATTTCCCTACATTTAGGACCAAGAACCCAAAACAGTGCCTACAATAGCTCTTCAGTCACTGCTGTAGGATGGTGGTCAGTTGGTTCTGGAATCCACAAGCAAAACAGTGAGTGGGGGTAAAGTCGAAGGTGGCACAAGCAAACTTCCTCGGCAATGTTTCTGAGGTTCTCAACCCAGACCGATCTAAAAATTTATTACTATCAACTCCAAATAAGCCCTTTTTAAAACCTTATATACTTTTAAAGTAACTATTATTAAAATCTGTACACAGTTTCCTAATAACTCTGTAAGTATATTAATGTAATATGGATTGTTATAAATGTTGGCTGGGCATACTTATTAATTGAAAAATAATTTTGGTATCTCCTTTGGATTTCTCAATAGTTAGCCTTTGTTATATTATACAATATTTGGTTATTTCATTAGCTTAGATTTCTCTCCCAACTTTTGATTATATAGTATTATTATGGGGAAGAAAAATGATGTAAGAGTGTGTGACACAGGTTTAATATTTCTCTCTTTTACTATACATTTATATTTATCTATACACATATGTACATAAATGTGCTTGGGCAAAGTGCCAGGTAAGGACAGATGTCTTGCATGGCATATAGCTTGGTGAGAAGGGAAGCTGGCAGAGAATTGAACATTCTATTATAGTATACAAATTGTTCTTATAGTCACATAATCATTCTATAAATATTTATTGAATTTCTTAAATTTGCAAAATATTGTTCGAGGTACTTGCAATACCATAATGAACAAATCAGATATGATCCCTACTCTCATGGAGCTCACAATTAATGTGAGAGACAAAGACTAAGCAAACTACGCAATTATTTCATGACAATTGTGATGAGTGTTATTGAAGCATACAACATATAACGAATGGGAGCCTATAATTAGGGAATCAAAGGGGAAGGATGCTTGAGCTGGTTTTTAAATAAAAGGACTTCATTGATAAATAATTTAAAAAATAAAAGAGCTTACTAAGAGGACTCCCCCCTTTACAGCACCCAGGTAGCACCTGGAACATTAACACCCTTTTTGGTAGCCAGTCACTACTTTTGACACAGCTCAGGGTGTGTCCCATTCCTTCCAGTCCCCCTTAGCCCTTCCCCATGATGGAGTCCTATCCTGTAGGATGAGCACACAGGATCAGGTAGCCAGATTCCCCGACTTTAAGTCCAGGTCCCTCTGCCTGTGCCTGTTAGTTTCCCATCTTACCCCTACTGTGCACAGTGCTATCAGTCATCTTGCCTCTGTCCCCAAGTAGCTGGAGTCCAGCCCCCGTGCTGTCCCCCTTCGCAGTGCCTGGACCCCCATGTCAACCTGGGGATGTCCTGACACCCCCTCACCTGAAAGGGCTTCCTCCATGAGGTGGCAGACCATGCACCATGAGGGACAGAGGACACCTGAGGTTAGAGACAGAGGGGCATTCTAAATAAGTCATCCTCCAACCCTGATGGGAAATGGGAGGGGCACAATTCCAAGGTATTACATGAAACAGTTGAGGAGATCAGCAAGAGTTGTGCCGTGAGCAACAAGGGCAGTGGCCTTGGATGGAACTGGTGTGGTAAGCAGGAACAAAAAAGCATGCAAGGACTTATAGATTGGGTTAATAATTTTGTTCTTTATCCTAATATTGGGTTGGTTGAGAAGTCCATGTGGTTTTTCTCCATAAAACAAGACAACATTTTTTCATTTTCACCAATAACTTTATTGATTTGGACATTTTGAGTATGTCAGCTATCTCCCACATGGTACAACACTGATTGTTCTCAACCTAATGTCTCCATTTGATCGCTATCAACTCCCAACTGCTCTACCAGACTGAGGAGCATTGTCCATTGAGAAATCTCCAGCATGAAACTTCGCAAACCACTTTGACACGTTTGATCAGTCATACACCTTCTCCATACATTGAACAATTTTTTTGTTTCAGTTGCGTTTTTACTTTTCTTGAAATGAATAAAGCATAATATGGCAAAAATGTGTATTTTTCCATCTTCAGTATTAAAATGGCTACACAAAAATTCACCAATTTTGATGTTTTTTCCATGCACAGTGATATGAGAGCTGTTACAATACAATCTAACAAAATTATTTCAAATGAAGTTAAAGACAACTAAGAGCTATTAGAGTCATTTTATGGAAAAAAAACAGAGAGATTTTTGGCCAACCCAATAATTACAGGATGCCATTAAAGGGTCTGAAGCAACCACTCCAATGTAGGAGCAGGTAGGTATTGCATAGAGTTTTGGTCTGATAATCAAACCTAGAGCAAGGATTATAGGCCTTTGAGGAAATCATTAGCCTCCTGGAATGGCTTCCTCATGCAGATTGTGAATTTGGACTACACAAGCACTAAGGTTTCCTTCAGCTCTAAAATTCCGTGAATACTTCTGTATATTTAAAGCCAAATGTCACTTACAGGTGACCTTATTAAAAAAAATTAAAATTATAGTTGACATACAATGTTACATTGCTTTCAGTTGTACCATATAGTGATTCAACATCTATATAACTTATGAAATGGTCACCCCATAAGTCTAGTACCCATCAGACACAAAAGACAGATTTGGGTAAACTCTTCTTATTTGTAGAAATGAATGATATTTAGATTCAATTGAGTCATAATTTTACCTACGTAATGGTGACAGACAGGGCTGAAGTTTATTCTTAAAGGCTGGGAAGTCTTTAAGATGGGAAATGAGGAAGATGAGATGGTAGGGACCAGATGCAAAATGAGTGCAATCAATGCTTATAAGGATAGACAAGCAGATGCAGGCAAGATGGGGGAAATTCAGCTTACTAGGATCATTTAACTTAAAGGAAGGTAGTGGCAAAGGAAAGTTTAACAGTGGGAAGGGATTATTTATCAGCAATTCCCTTTTCCCACCATTTTGACATGTACAATTGACATTTCCTCAAACTTGTGTCTTGCGTACTGTTTTGCAAAAAGAGTTTCAAGCACCCCATTCCTTGAGATTTGCTCAAATAAAATTCCTATTTAAAAACTCTCAAGCGGAGGTGAGGGAGACTTTATAATCTGAAGGACAACTGTGTGGGTTTTGGGGGAGGAGTAGGTATACGGAACTGCAATTCCAAAGTGTTAATACTAGATAGGATCTTGGTGATGACCTTTGAAGCGCATTCCCAATTTTACAGCGGGAACCTTTGGGGTAACCTTTACAACGAAGCCTTTCCCAAGGTATCAGTAAAAAAAGCCGCAGCCCTCTTCCTGGTCCAGGGAGCGTACCGGAGGCTGGATGCTGGGCGGCCTCTGCATGCCTGACGGTCTGGGGCTCTCTTCCTTTTCAGGCTCGCCCGTTTGGTCTCCCTCTTGTTCCCCCGCAGGTGCTGGGGAGGACACACGCAGCAGAGTGGGCATGATGCCCGCCGCGAGCCTCGGGCGCTGGGAGAAGCGCAGGTTCTTCCTGGATCACCGAAGAAACGTCAAAATTGACCAGAGCCAATCACCAGCCGGTCACTGCGCCCGGACCAGTCGGCGCGACGGCCCCACACGAAGCAGTCCCACAGCCGCCACCGGGCCTGGTCCTTGGGGAAGAGCAACTGCGACTTCCCGAACGGGGTCGTGAGGCTGCCTCGGGGCGAGCCCCCAGGCGGCCGTCGTTGCGAGGGAGGCGGGGCCTGGTGCTCTCCGCGCGCAGGTAGATGCGTTTTGTCCGTTTCCTTCTCACACCTCCGGCCACCAGAAGGGCTGAATTGGAGCCCCAACTCCGGGGCGTTCCTGGGTCTTCGATATCTTCCTCCTTCTCCCGGCAGTCCTCCACCGAAAGCAGACGGCCACCCGCAGAGGGATACAAATTTCGCGGGTACTGAGCTAAGGTGGGCGGTAAATAAGCACGGACCGGAAGTGGTGGTTGTCATAGCTACCGACGTGGCCAGCCTCGTCCCAGCTCCCACAAAAATAACTAGATGCTCTAAAGGCTGTTTTAGCCAGTTGATTTGGGAGAGGACCAGACCGGAAATCGCTGTTTCCATGGTAACCCCTTAGCGGGTTACCTGGTACTTGACCCATTTTGGTCTGTTTGAATCTCTGCTGTAGCGTCATTTCTAACAGATTCTGGACTGGCTGCTGCCATGATTCCTGGGAAATACCGCTCAGTTTCTGGCCGGGCTGCGAATAACGTAGGTTGGGTCTTTTACTTGCCCTTTCTTTCCATTTGTATTCGTCTTTTCTGGCTGGCGTCTTTGTCCTAGGTGATGTATTGTTGCGCCCACTGCTGCTGAGTCTGCTTAAGCTATTGTGTGACGGAGGCTTGAGATTCGTGGAATGGACCAAGGCACTTTGAGGGCATTAATTTTGTATGATGGGTAGTCAGTCATGTCCCAGATCTGGGTTTCCTAGAAGGTGGAGCTGGACTGCTGTGAAAGGCTAAAGTTCATTTACATTCCTTTAACTAGTCAGTTTTTTTAAATTAAGAAAATAATTAATTATTAACAGACTCATCTTCTTCACCTGTTCCATTAAGATATTTACTTAAGCCTGAAGTGTCAGGTGTCAAAATCCTGTGGTGCTAAGTAGAAGGTTAAATTGCTGCAGACATTTTAGAAAATAAATCACAGTGAAAGCTTTAATTCTTAATTGTGATTATATTGTTTTCAGCAAATTCTCGGAACATGATCAAATGCCAGAAACAAACAAAAAGCAAGCATTCTGTTTGTTATATCTTTATTTGTACCATTTTGGGGAGGAGTATGTGTGTATGTTTAAGATGAGAATATATTTTATGTTTTAATTTTTACATTGCAGGTGAACTGTGGGCTTCATCTGGTTATTCAAACATCGTCTCTTCCTGAAAAAAACAAAGTAAGAAATAGCAGCATGATTTAAAGTAGCATAAAACAATAGCAGCATGATTTTAGATTCTGAACTAGAAATTTTAAGTACATTTATTTTAGTCTCCAATTTAAATGTAATTTTTATTTTCTTCCTACATAAAGTAAAGCAAAACAGAACAAACCTGTTTTAAAAACTGAATCATATTTCACCAATTGCAAGAGGTAAGGTTTTTTTAAACATTTAAACATTTCTTAAATCAGAGTCCTTCCTAAAATTGATGGCACATTGTAATTGTTATTGATTTGGGAAAGTATTTTCTTTCTAAGTAATGGGTAGAATGATGGTGTGTCCTACTACTAATGAAATCTTGTCCTGGATAAAATGCAATAATTTGGGGTAACATACCTATACATTTCAGTTAAAATAAGGGGGGAAAATAGATTATTGGTGGAAATAAATTGAGCTTAATGCTATTGAGAAGTTAAGATATGAAGAGGAGATGCTTGTTTTTCCCAAATAATTTTCCCATATCTCTGGTATTTCCATAATCTCTGGCTTCTCATTTGATTTTTGAGGTACATGTGTTTTTCTTTCCTTCTCATCTCACCTCTGCACTTAAACATATCCACTTTCCGCATAGTTGTCTCAAGACACAATATAATTTTTCTCCCTTAACAAGGTTGTACATCTCAAACCATCCCAATTCACTTTTTAAAAAATGAATAAAATGTTTAGTAGATGTCACTGGAGGAACTCTAAAGTGAAGGGTAGACTTCACAGAAAACAGCAAGAGAAGGGTGAGTAGGAGCATGAGGAGGATGGAGAGGAGGACAAAAGTCAAGGAGGCAGCATTTCACTACATACGTTCTGGATATGAAGACGAACACTCGTGAGCTAAACCACTTGATCATCTTGAATAAATAACAGTTAGCTAGGTTAAATAAAAATATTCTTTACTATACTTGGTCATAGTAGATTCTCTCCAAAGCTTTGTTAATTGATTTCACTGGACAAGTCCTATTCTAGCACGACAGTGTGATTCTAGGAATGATGTGCCTTATCCATATTCCTTCTCCCATCCAAGTACTACCCCGGCCCGACCCTGCTTAGCTTCCGAGATCAGCCGAGAGATCGGGCGCATTCAGGGTGGTATGGCCGTAGACCGTATTCCTTCTAAACGATTCATTTTCCCTCGTGTGGACATAGGTTTTGAGAACCTTTAGTTCATATAATTCATAAGAAGACAATGCAAATGCCATTACAATGTTTATAGTATGGATGAATCAAAAGCATCATAATTTTCAAAAAATACTTATTTTGGCTTTTTGTGGCTAATCATGAGAGGTTATTTGACTTTATTTTTTTCAGTTCTATCAAATAATTTAAAAGAGAAATTCTTTCTTACAAGGTTTGGGTATACAATCTTTTTATGTTATAATTGGACTTTTGAAGGAATTCCAATGATAGAGCAGTGATTTTTTCCAACAGAATTTAGTTTTTGTATGTTTTTTGCTTCTGTTTTTGAGAAAATGATTCTTTAAATCCTTGTGTTTGTGGTGAGGGTTTGGAGGAATTGAAAGTGCCTCAGACTGGAGCATGGTTTCATCTGATCTCATGAAATTGACTGTGATTCTGTGCATGTGTTAAAATACACATAACATAAAATTTATCGTTTTAATCACTTTAAATTGTACAAATCATCGGTATTAAATTCATTGACTATGTTGTGCAGCCGTCACTACTACTTCCAGAACTTAATGGACCCGTGAAGCAGGCACTCCCCATGTCTCCTACCCCAACCAACTAGAAGACCCAAATCTGCTTTCTGTCTATAGATTTTTTATTCTTGGTATTTCATAAATGGAATTATGCAATGTGTGGCATTTTGTATCTGTATTCTTTCACTTAGCATGGTGTTTTGAAGATTCATCAGTATATTGTTGCATGTGCCAGGTGTATATTATTTTATGACTATTTTATGACTAATTCTTATGTTTTTATCCAATTTTTTAAAATAATTTTTTTAGGTTGAATTAAGGCTAAATAAAGAAACAGCATCCTTCCCTGGCCGACTCTTACAACATGACCTTGAAAGAAACTACTCAAGTAGGCAAGGTATTATCAGTGAGTAGAGATCAGATATGGTTTATCTTCTTTGAATATTGTTTAATAATACTGACTTTATAAATCCAAATAGACTTGAATTAAAAATGAAATGGTAAATTGGTTACCAAATTGGTTTGGTATTTGTTTAAATCAGAATTTATTTTCTGTCCACAGCATAGTAGATTATTTCCAACACAGAAATGATATTGTATTTTAGTTTGGGGTGGGTCGTATAGGAGAGAATAGGAAAGAATCTTCCAAATACTGTATTAGAACTAGGAAAAATGGCTAATTAGTGAAAGTAAGAGTATGGGCACATAGATCTTTAGGAAATTAAACAATAGGTAGAGTAGAAAGTTAGGAGTGGAAAAGAAATAACCTTCCTTAAAATGCATATAATTATAGATATTTTATATCAAGGGCCTTAAACTTTAGGGTGCATCACCCGAGATCTTGTTAGAAATGCAGATTTTTAGTGTTCCCTTTGCCCTTTTCCCCTTTCCCATCCTTATTTATTTAAATGTGCATTTTAATAAATGATTCAAAGGATTCTGAAGGAGTGGTTTATGGGTCACATTTTGAAAAATACTGTCTTATATGATCTGGCTGTATTTCTGAAATGCACTTCTCAGCTTAAGGAGAAATTTTCTTTAGTACAATACAGTTGGGTTTTTAGTTGGTCGCTGACAACTGTTAGCATTGATAATGTGCACTGCAGGATCCTCATGTACAGTACCATCCCCACCTCCTAGGATTCTGTCTGAGAGGGTTGATCGTTATAGGCCTCTTTTTGTTCATCTCATTGTTGCATGAATATTTGATTAGTTTCCTTTTTTGTTTCATTACTTTTGGGACTTACTCATGGGTCCTTCTGATCTGCCATGATTTTTCTCTATCCTATATACTACACTCCTGCCTTGGCCGACTACTGGACTTGCCATCAACCTCACCACAGTTCTGTAGTTCAGGAAACATCTGTCTTGCTTTCTTTGGTTCAGATGAATACATGTTTACTGAGTGTGTTATGTGCCAGACAAGGAATTAGGCACAAAGTTACAGCTATAAAGAACCTGGAAGGTCTCAAGTAGGGTTTTTTTATGTTAGCATTGTGAATTTCCTTCACATTTTTCATAACACTATCTTAAATTATTTTTTAAATTATGAGTCAAAATTAAATACTTTTTCCAAACTATTCTTGAGTTAGAGGAGGAAGTTGGTATACAGATTTGTGAATGCCTGGCCATGTAAATTTATCTAAGTCATAAAGTATTCCTAGATGTCTGCTAATGAGGAAACAGAATGGAGGCACTAAGTTTTGTGAAACTGAGAGATGAATAAAGTCTTATGTGTAAATAATGACCCATAAAACACAAATTAATTCTTTAGGGAAAATAAACCTATTTATTTTTCATTAAAAGATTTCATTCAAAATCATTTTCTGTGACAAACTACTCATTGGTACCTGTTGTTTTCCAAATGTGCCTTCTCCAAAGTGTCAGGCATAGTATGTAGCCGTCTTCTTGACTTTTGCTCACAATTCTACCTCCAAAAGCATAAAACTTTGGAAAAATTATAAGTAGCACCGTACCAGGAAAAGTTTGGGGACCTCTATTTAATAAACTATATCCTGCTACCTAATTATAGTAACTGATTTCACCCCATTTTTCTCTATTTTTCAAAATTCATTGAACTTATATATAGTTGGCCCTTGAACAATACTGGTTTGAACTGTGTGGATCCACTAATACATAGACTTTTTTTCAATAAATAGCAGTGGGCACATTGTATCCCTGGGTTGTGCCTTCATGGATTCAGCCAACCCTGGATGGAAAACCGTATTTTCCATCCAGGGTGAGGAGTCTGCTGATGCTGAGGATACATTGTTCTGTGCCATTTTACATGAGGGATTTGAGCATCCACATTCTGCTATCTGCAGGGGTGGGGTCCTGATCCAATCCCCCGTGGGCACCAAGGGATGATTGAGGGTTTTGGGGGAGTCAGATGTTCTAGTTTCAACTGCATGGGGTTGATGGTGCCCATTACTCTCATGTTGTTCAGTATAAATTAACCAAATGTACTCTTAGTCCTAAGTAAAGAGACTGTATTTTAGTTAGGCTGGTTTTTCAAATACTTGGTATATGATTTCTTTTAGGCCTTTTAGAAAACTATTAAGAGTTACCTCTGTATCCTTGAAATTTTGTTAAGAGATATTTCAGGGACTAGTATATAGTAAAATCTCAATTAAATAAACCTTAATTGATCAAATTCCTTAATTAAGAATTCTAAAGTGTGTGTATAGAGAGGAAGAGGCAATGCTTAACTTTTAAGATCATGATAAATCACTGGAAAATCTAGAATCAGAATTCTGGCTACTAAACACTCGCAAAGATAAGGCTGAATGGACACACATGCATGACCATGTACTGTATCATTCAGCCAGGCAGCCAGCCACCCACCCATCTGTTCATCCATTCATCTGCTCACGCATTTGTGGTCCATCCATCCGTCCATGTATTTAGGGTGAAATGAAGTGAAGATTCTTGCTAATGTTGACCTTATGCCTCTAAACAACTGTGATATCCTAATTATGAAAGAATTCATTCAACAATTTACACTCAAATGTACGAATTTCTTATTTTAACAGTAATATTATATGCAAAATAGATTTTTTGCTAACTCTTAGTAAATTGGAAAATTAGTTCATTTACTGATTTCCTACTGAATTCAGATGAAATGAATATAAAGAATATGAAATGAACCCTGGCTGGTGTGGCTCAGTGGATTCAGCGTGGGCCCGCGAAACCAAAGGATCGTGGTTCAATCCCCAGTCAGGGCACATGCCTGGGTTGCAGGCCAGTTCCCAGCGGGGGATGCATGAGAGGCAACCATACATTGATATTTCTCTCCCTAACCCTTCCCCTCTAAAAATTAATAAATTAAATAAAAAAATATAAAATGAGGTCTGTCTCTCAAGTAACTTGTACATTTAATTGGGAATAGAAAGGCTACATATCTGGTAAATTAATAAGTGATATATGAAATAAACAATAATAGGAACTATTTCAATTAAAATTTTGTCACATAGTAATGCAGTTTGCGAAACATCCCACATATATATGTGGATTTTTGATACACACATATACATATGTTGGTGTTTATATATCCACATATTTAAGTGGCTGCTTCAACTACAGATCACCCTGATTCCTAGTCATTAGAGGATCTTGTTTGTGGATTTTAAGGTTTTGCTACTCCATCATTCTCATCTCTTGCTGTTTATTGTAAGATACATATCACACCAATTGGATAGTTGGTATGGATAGTGATTATGACAGGAGTGGAAAAGTGTGAAGGTAAAATTTTTTATTCACTGAGTGTAAATAAAATTTACTGTTCAGTTACTATCTCTACATCACAATTCTTAAAGTTTAAATCTGCATCTTAAATTGAGGATTGGCTTGAAGTCTTTACAAAAGAACTTTAAAAATGTAACTCTGATGCTAATAAGAAAAATCAAGGTTGGCTATTATTTGGAGTTTTTCCTTCACCTGACCAGTTAATCCTTAATCAGTTAATCCTTAGACTAGTTTTAGTTTGTTTTTGTTTCCAAATCAGTTTGCTAAATGATGGTTACTTGGGTACCCTGCTAGCAGCTGGTCATGTCACCAGACCATTTCATTGATGAACATGATGTCAATTCTGAATGCCTGTGATATTTCATGATATTCAGAAAAGTGAGGTGTGAGCACTGATTATTTTGTTCAAGAAGCTAGGTGCATGATTCTTTGGTTCATACCTTTTACACCTGAAGAAGCTAGCAAATACCATTGCTTTCTAGCTCTTTAATACATACAGTCTATATGGAACTTAATTTCAAGCTGCCATCATGTTGTCTGATGGCCTGCCAAAGAATAATTAACTTCCTACACTTGGTTTTATCTTTTTTCCTTACTGGTCAGTTTAAGCAGTAGGATTTTGTGGTAATCCTAGCTTCCATTTTATTGCTTATCACTCCCCTGAACATCAGTTGCTGCTTTCAGGAAATTTTCTTGTCATAGAAGAAAATACAGTAGAATTCCTCTGGTGTCATACTGTCACCTTTGATCCATTAGTCAAATCTCCCTCATTTCTGTCATTTCCCAGCATCTCTTCTCACCTGTTCTACATTCTTCTAGGCCTTTAATATCCACCTCCCCCCAAACCCATCTGTAACCACCTTCTTTAAGTGAAAAATAACAAGACGTATTTATGTGTGAGTATATCATTAGGTATTATTTTTTATTCTGCATTTTGTGCATGTTCTATATAGTTTGTTAATTTCATATGGGTTTGCCCACTAGATTGAATGCTACCTAATGGGAGAGACAGCATCTAACCAAGAACCTATAAATATCATGGGGTATCATCTACCCTCAATCTCATCACTGTAAGTGTATAGGATTTGTTGATAACCACTTCGGTCCTGCAGTATTCTCTTTGATGGTAGCTGAGCATACCAAAAAAGTGATGATGTGAGGTTTACATTTGCTATCGAAACCACTTTCTCTGTATTTCCTGTTGCAAAGTCATGTATTGTGTAGCTTTGTGATAAACTTTTTGATATTTTGAAGGAGATGGAAGAGTAATAAGCCCTTCGCCTCGTAATAAATCATCATGCATCTCATCCACCACAAACGTGACAGAACTGTATGGGCTGGACATGAAAACTGCCATGAGCTCCTTTTCAGCATTTGGAGATTCTTCCATTCAGATACCTTCCAAGTCCAGAATCCGGCAGGGCTGTCATAGTGCTGGCCCCAATGTACCTGGTAATGAGGGACTATTGTCTCAGTTATAAGAGAGTTCAGATTTAGTACTAGGTGTCAGCATTATAAAGGGATAAAGATAGCACTAGATTATTTGGCATGCACAGTACACATAGTTTAGGTTTGAGGAGGAAAGAAACAAACTCAAATTTAGTAATTAATTTCAAATATGGGGAGCTATGGAAACTATACTTTCTTAGAAAAGATATTTGTAGGTACCAAAGTTCTCCAAATATAAGGTGACTTTAGTTTTAAGATTTTAAAGGTTTTTCTTAATCGGGTAATTTGTCATTTTCAATAGGTGATCATATTAATTTGGTGAGCTCATCAATGCCATCATTTCCCATTCTCCAGCGCTCTTCTGAAGAGAAAATTATTTACTCAGACAGGTTGACCCTAGAAAGGTGAGGTCAATTTATTTTATTTTAATTTATTGACTAGATAATAAATACATAGACTTTGTATGGAATTTGAAAGGCACATAAGTATCCCTCATCTTATTCTCCAACTATCCAGCTCTCTTACCGCTATTACCAATTTTGTATTTATCCTTTGAGGAGTATGGGGAGGAATTTTGTATCTACATAATGTGAAAAGCTTGACCATACTCTAAAAGAGTATTAAGCAATTCTAGAATATGACCAGTGAAAATGGATTTTAGGATAGAAAAAGCTTTGCAATATAGTCCTCACACAGGCTTCTGGGCCCTGGTCGGTTGGATTCCCCGTCACCTCACTAGGTTCACCGCCTCCTGACCCCTCCTTCACTCACTCTACCTCCTTGAATACGCCAGGCTTACATTTCAGGGCTTTTGCACTTACTGTTCCCACATCTCTGTAGGCTCATTTCCTTTCCTCTAGGTTTTTACTCACATGTCTGTATCTCAGAGATGACCTTCTCTGGCCACCCTCTCCAGAGTTGCACCCCTTTCCACCCTGGCAGTCCGCAGCTCCTCAGCTTCATTTTTCTTCTTAGCACTTATCACCTTCTAACATACTACATATTTTTCTTACCAAGTTTATTATTTGTCTTCTTCTACTAAAATATAAGTTCTGCAAACACCTGGAGTTTTTTTCAGTTCTGTGTCCTTAGCACCTGGAACAGAGCTTGGGCCAAAAGACCCTTTCAGTAAGATTTTTTTGAATGAGTGAATATATTTAGGACTTGATCCCTATCTTTAAGTCCAGGAAGTTACCCGCAATAGGAAGGTGGGTAAGGGTCCCAACCCTGCCTTAGCAGTGCGTGTCTGACCGCAGATTGTTAAAAGCAGACTTCTTAGCTTAGCAGTGCACACCTGACAGTGGATGTCACAGAGCATTTGTATTTGGGAGAAAGCTCTCTGAAGGGTGTGGCATGTTGTTTTGTAGCAAGTAACATTTGAGGGCAGTTACTCTGCTGACATCTTTGTGGTATTGATGCTTTTTGAAATTCTAATGTTATCTAACACAACTTCCGTAATATTATTTTAATGTTTTGATGGATTTTGTGGTAATTTTTAATGTTAGTCTTTAAAAAGCCAGACAAAATAGTGCCCCAGCCCTTTAGTTTCAAGTTACTTGAGAGTGACAGGAGCCAGTATTTTTAAGGTAGTGACATAAGTTAGGCCCTTGTGTTGTAGCTCGGGGTGACTTGGGCAGTTGCGAAGCTGGTCTTCGGCATGTGGGCCTCTAGGGTAAAGAAGCAAACTTTGATCAGGTGGAGACTTGTTTTCCTAGGATAGTCAGGCCCAAGGGAATTGACTCAGCTTCAAAGGCTGCTTATGAAGTGGCAGGATCACAAAGATGTCATGGGCCTAATTAGTACCAGGCCTGATCAGTACCAGGATGTGTGTCACGAAAGCTGGGCTAGCAGCAAGGTGCTTGGGGATTATTATTTGAGAGCCATGGGTAACAGCAGTGATTTTTAAAGGGAGATCTGCACTTCTGTGCTGTTTCTTAGTCAGGAGACCAAGGGATTGGGAGTAGAATCCAGCCCCAAGAAGAAATGCATGGAAGAGCTAGGCTCTAACTGGAAGTTAGGGTGAGCCTGGAGTACCAGGCATGCAGCTTAGTAGCACCAAGTAGAAAATCAGAGGCAAAAGCATAATCCAATAGATACCTCAGTGATGGAGTAGGAGGTGTAGCAATTCAGGGATTTTGTAGGCATAACAGGGTCTCTTGGAGACCACTGGGTAATAAACCGGTGTGTGTGTGTTTGCTTGTTGCTGGATGACAGGGACTTACAGGGTTAAGGGGCATGCAGGTGAGTCTTGAAGTTGGGACTTAGTCACTGGATTTGAAATCTAAGAAAGTTATTATTTCAAGTTGCAGAGACTTATGTAAGAGGTGGGTCAACGTGTGTGTGTGTGTGTGTGTGTGTGTGTGTGTGTATGTGTGTGTGTGTTTAGTGATACTGACTCAAGAATAGGATGAACTAGAAACTGGGGTATCAGTAAATTTAACTATGAGAAACGAAGGGAGACTGAAGCAGGAAAAATGAGGCAGTATATGTTTTTTGTTAAACTGGTGCACAAAGTTATAAATTTTAAACCAGAGTACTTATAATTTATAAAACAGAAATACCAAATGAGGTAGTATAATTGAGTGCATGAAATGAATTCTAAATACTAAACACATTAAAAGAACTAAACTACTACCTAATTTTTTTTCTTCAATTTTAAACCAATTTCTTCAGGGTCTGTATTTTTATTTATTTATTTATAATGTATTTTATTGATTATGCTGTTACAGTTGTCCCATTTTTTTCTCCCCTTTATTCCCCTCTACCCTGCACCACCCCTCTCAACAGCATTTTTCCACCTAAATTCATGTCCATGGGTCATGTCCATGGGTCATTTCCTATACTATTCTCAATCTCCCCCACATGGTCTGTAGTTTTAAACACTGTATCTTTGTCAACCAGTACCATTTAGTAATTACCTGGTGTTAATCAATTTTTTCTTTTCATGTGGAGGATTCTGATCACTGGTAGAGTTTCACTTATGCTTATAGTACTCTGATTCATTTGCTTTAAAGGTTCCACTAACTTGATTTTACTGAAAGGAAATATTTCTAATTAATTTTCCTATTAGAGTTGTTCACACTTTGATCAATAGAACTACATTTTCCTTGAAGACTGTTGAAAATCTCAGAATAGAATCATTTCTGTATGGTCATTTAATTACCTTAGTAGAGCTCTTTTTTTATTATTATTATTTATTTATTTATTTTTTATTGTTCAAGTAGAGTTGTCTTCATTTTCCTGCCATGACTTTTCCCTGCCCCACCCACCCCCGCCTCCCACTCTCAGTCCTACCCCACTTTGGCTTTGTCCATGGGTCCTTTACCCATGTTCCTTGACAGCTCTTCACCTTCTTTCCCGCATTATCTCCCTCCCTCCTCCCCTCTAGTTACTGTCATTTTGTTCTTTATTTCTGTGTCTCTGGTTATATTTTTTCTTGCTTGTTTGTTTTGTTGATTAGGTTCCACTTAAAGGTGAGGTCATAAGGTATTTGTCTTTCACCACCTGGCTTATTTCACTTAGCATAATGCTCTCCAGTTCCATCCATGCTGTCAGTTTCTTAAAGGGCCCTGCACATAATAATTTCACGTGTAGTACATTATAACTTTTTGTGTAATGGAGGTGTACTGTCTTAAATATAGCTTAAGACATATATTGGTAAGGTTTCATTCTACCCAATAGCATTTTAAACATTCTGCAAAGTTCAGAGTTAGTGTTGAACATGTGAACATACACTTAAAATCTTACGTGTCTGAAGAAATGTTCAATTAAGGATGAAATTGCTTTATTAAAGTGAACTGTAGATGACTGAATTTCTTGCTCTTCCTGATGTCATCCAGCTTAAGAATCTACAATTCTGAGACACCCTTTTTTATGTTTTTCTTTTTTTCCTGATGACTTAGTTACCTAGGCAGTCTTTCTATCAGTCAATTGATGGCAAAGACATTTCTCTGGTTATGTGACGTGGTTCTTTGAACCATCATAAACCTCTATTGTATAAGGCATTTACATTGAGTGTTTTCTGATACTAAGTCAATTTTATGTGAAATAATTTGTATTGGAATTTTTAAAATAAAATGAGAGCTTAGACTTCATTTTAATATTTATCATCGTCAATGTATATTGGCTTTTATAGGGATGATTTACGATTTGATCTAAGATGCTTAGTTCATGGAGGCAAGAAGTGAGTCTATGTATCTTTTTCTCCTTATAACTTGGGAGCACAAAGATACTAATAATATTTCTAAGAGGAGGCAGGTTGCCAGCTCAGAATCTTACTGACTTTTTAAATGTTTCTTAGGCAAAAGCTGACTGTATGTCCTATTATCGATGGAGAAGAACACCTTCGTTTGTTGAACTTTCAACACAATTTTATAACTCGAATCCAAAACATTTCTAATCTACGGAGGCTTATATTCTTGGACTTATATGATAACCAGATTGAAGAAATTAGTGGGCTTTCTACTCTAAGATCCCTCCGTGTCCTCTTGTTGGGGAAAAACAGGTAATCGTTGCGGAGCAGTTTTTGTTTATTTTATTTCAAGCTAATGTTCAGTCCCATGGTGTTTAGATGGCAACTCAGAATTAAAAAATAGTTAAAAACTTACTAGACTAAATGTTCTGAAAGATTTTTAAAATATATTTTATTGATTATGCTATCACAGTTGTCCCATTTTCCCTTTATTCACCTCTCCCCTGCACAGCCCCTCCCACCCCAATTCCCTCCCTGCCCCACTTAGTTCATGTCCGTGGGTCATACATTTAAGTTCTTTGGCTTCTACATTTCTTATACTAGTCTTAACTTCCCCTGTCTATTTTCTATCTACCATTTATGCTACTTATTCCCTGTACCTTTTCCCCCATTCCCTCCTCCCCTTCCCCGCTAATAACCTTCCCTGTGATTTCCATTTGTCATTCTGTTCCCATTCTAGTTGTTTGCTTAGTTTGTTTGTTTTTTTTAGGTTCAGTTGTTGATAGTTGTGAGTTTGTTGTCATTTTACTGTTCATATTTTTTATCTTCTTTTTCTTAGTTAAGTCCCTTTAACATTTTATATAATAAGGGCTTGGTGATGATGGACACCTTTAACTTGACCTTCTCTTGGAAGCACTTTTTCTGCCCTTCTATTATAAATGATAGGTTTTCTGGGTAGAGTGATCTTGGATGTAGGTCCATGCCTTTCATTACTTTGAATACTTCTTTCCAGTCCCTTCTTGCCTGTAAGGTTTCTTTTGAGAAATCAGCTGATAGTCTCATGGGAACTTCTTTGTAGGTAACTATCTCCTTTTCTCTTGCTGCTTTTGAAATTCTCTCCTTATCTTTAATCTTGGGTAATATAATTATGATGTGCCTTGGTGTGTGCTTCTTTGGGTCCAACTTCTTTGGGACACTATGAGCTTCCTGGACTTTCTAGAAGTCTATTTCCTTTGCCAAATTGGGGAAATTCTTCTTTATTATGTTTTCAAATAAGTTTTCAATTCCTTGTTCTTCCTTTTCTCCTTCTGACACCCCTATGATTTGGATATTGGAACATTTAAGGTTGTCCTATAGGTTCCTAATCCTCTCCTCATTTTTTTTGAATTCTTGTTTCTTCATTATGTTCTGGTTGAATGTTTCTTCCTTCTGCTCCACATCACTGATTTGAGTCTGGTTTCCTTCCCTTCACTGTTGGTTCACCATACATTTTCCTTTATTTCACTTTCCCCTCTATTTTGCAACCATACTCAACCAGTTCTGTGAGCATCCTGATTACCAGTGTTTTGAACTGTACATCTGATAGGTTGGCTGTCTCTTCATAACTTAGTTGTATTTTTTCTGGGGATTTGATCTGTTTTTTCATTTGGGCCATATTTTTTTTCTCGGCATGTTTATTATGTAGTAAGGGTGGAGCCTTAGGTATTTGCTGGAGTGAGGTAACCTACTTCACCATGTTGTATGGAATGTGGGGGAGTGGTCTGAGAGGGAACAGTGCCGCTTGCTCGGCTCTCAGTTGGTTTTCAGTCACTTACCCCCGCTACCCACAAGCAAATTGGGCTCTTCTGGTTCTGATTACTGTGTGGGTGGGTTTGTATACATTCTAGGACCCTGTGGGTCTCTTCAGTGAACTCTCCTGTGAGGCTGGGGGTTTCTCCTGCTGCCTCAACCCCCACAGGTCCTTTCAGTCAAGAGGTTTTGAGGCTTTATTTCCCCCCCACACTGAAATTCTGGGTCCCATGGTCTGCCTCGCTCCCCAGTTATTCCTCCCAGTTTATCTGCACATGAATGTGGGACTGCTTGCTCAGTCGGCTACCACCTTGCCACACGTTTTCTTTTCTGGGCTGCTCATCTCCACCCCTCCTACCAATGTGGATGAATGTTTATTTTTTAACTCCTTGGTTGTGGGACTTCCATATAGTTTGATTTTCTGTCAGTTCTGGTTGTGTTTTTAAATTGGTTGTTATCCTTTGGTTGTGTGAGGAGGCACAGTGTGTCTACCTATGCCTCCATCTTGGCCGGAAGTCCTCTTGAAAGATTTTTTGAATGGATTAAGATTCAGTCATAATTTGTTTTGTGAGATTCAGTCTGACAGTTTAAGCAAGTGACATTTATTGAGTGTGTATTGCTTTCCAGTGCCATAGCTTATGTGGAAGTAGATAGTAGATTTAGCTTTTATATTTTCTTAGGCCGTATTTTAAGCATGTGTATTTACTTTAGGCATATGTATTTCACTAGTGATTCTTCTTAGTGCTTGACTGAGGGTAGATACTTGATAGTCTTTGATTGTCAAATTACTGATTGATTCTTGTTCAGGTTGTGTTTTCAGTATCCATTTAAGATCACATACTGTGTGAATGTCCCCAGTTCTCATGAGGGTGTATTATGTGGTGCAGATACATGATTTATGACTGATTTCCTTGAGATTCATTCATGACTTTTCTACAATGCCTAGAAAGAAGAGCTATTTGGCAAAATTCAAAATGGTTTATATATTGTCAAATGATAAAGTTTAGATACAGCGTGATACCCAAGCTTGGTTCCCCTCCCCCCATCTTTTTTACCTCACAACATGTATCTTGAATTACCTCTTTATTTACCCAATGGTAGTTAATATGAGATCATTTTTCCAAGATCATGTCCCAGAGTTACAGAGTCTCATCTGTTCTCTGCAGTTTCTTGAAAGTTCGCAGTGGTGTAGTCTGTCCCTTACTATTGGGTCAAGTGTTATAATCTCAGCATTATAGTACCATTAGGGAATTCAGGACAATTATAGGATTATAGACTATTGGAGCTTGAAGGGACCTCAGAGATTAGCTCTCTTATTTCACAGATGGAGAAATGGAGAGGAAAGGTAGTTTGTGCAAGGTTGGAGATGTCCAAACTCTGTACAGTAGGAGTATGCCACCAGAGAAGTTCACTGAGGGAAGTGAGGAGTAAATTTTTCATATGTTTAAGCCATTCCCTTCTTAAGGTGCTCTGTTATCTCTCCCAGAGATTTCTTTACCAGTTCTCAACCTTGGATTTACTGATTTCTTCCTCTGGCTTCCATTTATTCTCCAGTACTGTTGCCTTTAGGTGCTCCTTGTAGTCCTCAAGTAAGGTGTTTTCCAGTGACATTTTAAACCTCCCTTTTTAGTTTTAAACATAGTGTCTAGAGCTACTCCTGGCTCCTAATGTTTTAAATCATTTCTCAATCTACTCTCTTTTCCCGTGCCTCAAAGACACCAGCGTGTTGGACATTTTTACCTTTTTAAAGGTCTCTGCTCCTCCAGCTGTCTGGGGCCTACTGCCCTTTTCTATAACCTTACCGTTGTCAAGTAAAAGCAGTCTAACAGTCTCTTCTTCCTCTTTCTACTCCTCTATCCTTTTGTTTGTATGCCTTGGGCCATATTTTACTTAATTTTGTCCCCATAAAGAAAATAGCAGTTATCAGGTTCTAGAACTGTGAGTGTTCTTGAATAAAAAGAAAATGGGTCATAAGACAATTTTCCACATTCTCCTAAATTGCATTATTTCAGAAGTATCAGTACAATGAAAATCTGACCGCTAAAGCGTATGCCTAATCCTCTTTAGCCAACTGACTTTGTCACCGCTGAGTCTTGAAGATGCAAATCTAAGAACAACAATAAAAAAATTTTTTTAAGGGTACAAATCTATTTTGAGGCAGTTCTTCAGTGATCATTAGGCAAACCTGGCTGAGGACTGTGGAGAAGAGAGATGCACCATTGCCACTCTGTATCCTCATGTTTGCCCTGGGTGACTAGTTGCCCCTTGTTGCTTAAAAATCCATAAGGTTTTCTCCCTCCACACTGCGAAGCACTGCATGGTCATTTAGTCCAAGGCAGTGGAACCAGATATGAACATCTAGGGCAACCAGATGCCTCTAAGTTCAAGCAGCTCCAGCACATATTTCTGCTAAGCCAGAAAGACCTTGCTCAGATGCCATTTGTGAAGTTTACATTGCCACTAATGAACTCGCCACCCCTCTGTGTGACTTCACTATTGAAATTCTTGCTGGCTCACTCTTCTACTTTCTGAATCCCCTATTTATCCTTATGAGATCTTCTGCTGCTCTCATGATCACAGGCTAATGAACAGAACTTCCCTGCATTTTCTTCTCATCACCAAGGACTATGTATAAAACTTTCTGCCAGATCCTGGGATTCCATATGCCTTTCCCTCTGATTATTTGAAGGTTCCCGCTTAGAGATTTGTCTTTGACACCCAAAAAGCGTAGCCTTCACACAGATCCTGCCCTCTGCAACACAGTGCGGCCTGCAGGAACAGTGTCAGACATCCCTGGAAGTCTGTAGCACCTGAAGTGGTAGGTGAACCTTGCCCTTTTCTAGTTTCAGTTTTGTTTAATGGTAGAAATTAAAAAAATAACCTTCAGGTCACCTTGTGTTAATGTAAAAATCTTCAATTATTTGGGAACTGACTATGATTCTGTAAATTCTTCATCAGTACCTAATCTAACCCTGGCTTCCTAGGTTAACTGATCCCTTCATTCACCTCTGAATGCTTCAGGATTCTGTTTTAATGTTATTGCAGGGGGTGGGAAGAGAGTCTATGGCAAAGATAATTCATGAGAGCAAGATGTTTAGTTGTTTTTGAGTTTAATTGACTGACTTGCCTATTTTTCTTTCTATTCACCTGGGCAATCAGAATCAGAAGTCAGAGTCACAAAGTCACTAGGTGTCAAAGCTGAGAGAATGCTTGAAATCACAACAGACAGGGAGTGTTTTATTGGGTAGCTTAGTGGTATGGACGGACTTGGTAGAGTGCTGTGGGAAGACCGAAGACGTGTTGTGTGTTTAGGCTTCCGTGACAGAACTGCTGCAGTTGTGCCCAGAGTTTCTGGTTAATACAGAAGCACGTTATATTAATCCCCCAAATCAGAGAAATTTGGGCTGGGACAATTTCCATCCCTTGTGTATAATTTCCAAAATGTTAAAAGTGTAATTCTCAGATAAATAGATATTAACTCCAGGCCAATTTTTCATTAAATCATTAAGGAGGAAACCAGTAGGATGACAGAGGTTGTTCAAAGGAGGGTAAGAGAAACTAATGAAAATGAAGGATGCTGGAATAAGATTGTTAGTTACAAAACATGCAATAGAAACATTGCATCATCAGTTTCCTACAAGTTAGTATAAAACTTTACAGAATTTGGGCTCTGATCCAAACAGAGTAAACAGTCCGATGATTCTTAGGTAGCTTTTTAAAAAAAATTTATTTTATTGTTGTTCAAGTACAGTTGTCTGCATTTACCTGCCATCTCTCTCCGACCCCAGCCATCCCCCCTCCCTCCCGATTCCAACCCCCCTTGGTTTTGTCCATTTTTATAGTTGTTACTGAAAACCCTTTTACCCACTATCCCACCTCCTCTCCGGTCAGTCAGATTGTTCTTTATTTCCATGTATCTGGTTATATTTTGCTTGCTTGTTCGTTTTGTTGATTAGGTTCCTGTTAAAGGTGAGATCATAAGGTATTTGTCCCTTACCGCCTGGCTTATTTCACTTAGCATAATGCTCTCCAGTTCCATCCGTGCTGACGCAAAGGCTAAGAGCTTTAGGTGGGCTTGTTGACAGTGCTCTGAAGTGACATTGAAAGGACATGCAGTCATCCCTTTGCCTTCTTTTCAAGATACGGTTAGCAACACTGAGTAGTGCCCTTTTTTCTACATTCACATATCATAGTTTCATAAAATTGTTTTTATATTTTATGGTGCTTTTCACTGGCATATTTATATTTTATTATTTATGTTTTCCCATGTCATTAAATATTCTTTGAAAACAATTTTTAAGAGCTTAATAATCTGTATGAGTATATATGTAGTAATTTAATATTTTCCTTTCTGTTAGACATTTACATTGTATACTTTTTTCTATGATAATGCTGTGATGTATATTCTTGTCCATTCATCTTTATCTGCATCTCTGATTATTTCCCTAGAATAGGTTTTAATGTTTTCAATAAGGTAGGTGTGTTCACCCTCACAAAGCTCATATGAGGGGGAGTTGAGATTTGATAAGAAGAAGGCCTGTATTCTAGGAAATTACTTCTCAAAATGTGATCTCTGGACCAGCAGCATTAGGTGGCCCAAGAACTTAGAAATGCAAATTTTTAGATCCTAACCTGGAAACTGCAGGTGGGCTCAGCAAGCTGTATTTTATCAGGATGTCCCAGGTGATTCTGATACACACAGAGGTTGGGTATTTCAGAGATAAGATTTTGTGCTTTTTATTTTATTTTATTTTTGAAGATTTTATTTATTTATTATTATTTTTAAGATTTTGTTTATTTATCTTTAGAGGGGAAGGGAAGGAGAGAGGGAGAGAAATATCAATGTATAGTTGCCTCTCGTGGGTCCCCTGCTGGGAACTGGCCTGCAACCCAGGCATGTGCCCTGACTGGGAATTAAACCTCGATCCTTTGGTTCGCAGGCCTGTGCTCAATCCACTGAGCTACACCAGCCAGGGCAGATTTTATTTATTTACTTTCAGACAGAGCGGAAAGAAGGGAGAAAGAAATGGAGAGAAACATCAGTGTGTGGTTGCCTCTTGCATGCTCCCTCCCGGGGACCTGGCCCACAACCCAGGCATGTGCTCTGACTGGGAATCGAACCAGCAACCCTTTGGTTCGCAGGCCCATGCTCAATCCACTGAGCGCACCATCCAGGCTGTGCTTTTTAATTTATAGCAACATTTCAGTTTTTCAAAAGATGGCAAATCAGAACTCCTAAATAAATATTCAGAAACCGAGTGAGTCCAGTAGAAAGCATTTAGGCAATGTTCATTTTGTCTCTGTGGTAAAGAATCCTGTTACGAATACCCCTATACATAACACTCATCCTTTTAGTTGTCTTCATTCATTCATTCAACAAATACCTTCTGCGTGCCTACTTGGTGCCAGGTACTGTCGTGAGTCCTGGAGATAGAGAACATATCAAAATTTATGACCTCTTGGAACTCGCATTTTGGTTAGAAGGAGAGTGTAAAAAAGGAAACACATGAATAATATAAATTTAGGCAAGGATAAGCACATTGAAGTTAAAGCAGGCAGAGGAAAGAGCAGTGGGGATGGGAAGGGGGAGCTGTTTTTGATAGGGTCATCTGGAAAGGCCGTTCTGAGCAGATACTTGAGGCGAGACCTGGGTTATGTGAAGGTGTGAACCATGTGAAATCCTGGGGGAAACCTGGAAGAAGCAATAGCGAGGGTGAACACCCCAAACAGAAAGGAATTTGTGAGGCTAGAGATGGCAAGAAAGCCCCTGAGGCTGGAGCAGAAGGAACAGAGGAGCCTAAGCAAGGGAGGAGATAAGGCTGGAGGAAGTCAGCAGCTAGACGGGTTAGGACCTTGAGGACTGGGGTAAGAAGTTTGGGTCATATTCTGAGGGGAAGGGAAGTGCTTTGAATAAGTGCCTTGCCTAAGACTCTTAGAAGAAGAATTGCTCTCTTCTAAAGATACGACTTTTAAGTGAAAGGACATGTCCTCTAGCAGGACTAATTATTTAACAATATAATTAAATTAATGGAAATGTGTTTTTATATAATATAGATAGTTATATGTAATTTATATATTTATATAGATATAGCTATTTCTGTGTCTATATTTAATTTGTAGGGAATAAATTAAAATGAGTTGTGCCTTAACATGTTTTGATTTATAATACTTATGATACAACCACATTTCTATTCTTATTCTGATTTTCAGAATCAAGAAAATCTCAAATCTGGAGAATCTAAAAAATTTAGATGTCTTGGACCTTCATGGAAATCAGGTATTATAAAAACCTTTCATTTCTTTCTTCTTTGCATAAAAGTCCAGAAAATTTGACATTCTAAAATTTTTAAGACTTACATTATGTTGAATTTTTAAGAGTTACTTTACCATTTAACTGAAATATTAAGCCTATTTATATAAGATTTGGTGATTTGTCACAGTAGATGATACATAAAGCATTCAAAATTCTTACAATTATGATAATTTTGTTCCTTATTTTGTTTTTTATTAACTTATTTTTAAAATATACATTATCCAACCCCCGCTCAAGAATGAGAACACTGATGAGAATACTGATGTCTTCTACTTAGGCGTTCCTCCTTTATTGTGCAATAACCACAGTTTGGGATTTCACATTTATCATTCCTTTATGAGTTATTTTTAGTTGGTTTTATTACATATATGTATACCTAAATAATATGCCATTTAGTTGCATTGCCTTTTAATTTTAAAAAAGGTATCAATGTTGTCATGTAGTTTTTGCTTTTTAGAAACAATATTATATTACTGGAATTCATCTTATTTTTTAAAGATTTTATTTATTTATTTATTTTAGATGAAGGGGATGGGAGGGAGAAAAAGAGGGAGAGAAACATCAGTTTGTGGTTGCCTCTTGTTGTACCCTGCACTGGGGACCTGGCCTGCAATCCAGGCATGTGTCCTGACTGGGAATTGAACCAGCGACCCTTTGTTTTGCAGGTCAGCACTCAATCCACTGAGCCACACCAGCCAGGGCTGGCATTCATCTCTTTGATTGAGTAGCTGTAGTTTATTCATTTTCACTGTTGTATGTTCCATGATGTGGTTAAACAAAACTTGTGTATCCAGTTTATTATTAATAGACATTTGGGTGGTTTCCTTTTTTTTCTGTTTTGTTTTCTATTGGGAATGGTGCTTTTAAGAATGTTCATGTACATGCTTCTTCTATATACCATATGTGCTCTACAGTGTAGCTCTAGAAGTGAAGTTGATGGGTGAGGTTATTTAAATGTCTAACTTTAAAGGATAATGCCAAACTGATTTCCAAGCGGTTGTGCCAATTTATACTCCCACTAGTATTACATAAAGATCCTGTTACTTCACATTCTTTTCAGCATTTGGAATTGTCAGGCTTCTTAATTTTTGCCCATTAAATTTTTATAGTGACTCCTTGTGGTTTCAATTTACATTTTTCTGATAACTATGTGATCTGGGCTCATTATTCTTGTATTCAGTCAGTCAGTTGTCTACCCCCATGTCCGTGTAATGTCTCTATCTGGTCTGTTTTGTTCCCCTCTTTGTTCTCATCTCTCAGAGCTTCTTGGCCTTGTGTTAAGCCTTTGCTTTTCCATTTAAATTTTAATCTTTGAAATGTGAGTATTTACCTAAGAATAGTTACCTGAGCAGAAGGTAAAGCCTCTCCTAAGGTGGTAAGCATACATTCTGGGATGATCCAGGAGAACCTGCCTGTTGATGAACAAGCTCTGCCATGGCCATTTGCAGTCAAGCAAGTGCAGACCTCAGTACGATCTCTCTAGGCTTTCTGACAGCTCTTAGTCCCGATCATTTTGGTGAAAAGCTAATGTAATTTTATTTTTTTAATATTTTATTTATTTTTAGAGGGAGGGGACAGGAAGGAGAAATAGTGGGAGAGAAACATCAATGTGTGGTTGCCTGTCATGTGTCCCCTACCAGGGACCCAGCCTGCAACCCAGGCACGTGCCCTGACCAGGAACTGAACTGGCAACCTTCCGCTTCACACGCCCGCGCTCAGTCCACTGAGCTACACTAGCCAAGGCAGCTAATGTAATTTTAGAAGACCTCGATAAATGTAGATTCTTTTCATCTGCCAGGGTCTAATCTTGTACAGCCACATTGGGGTGTCTGTCCGAGTGTGCACCTTGCAGTACCGTGCTGGTAGCCTGCTCTGCAGGGTGGTCAGAGTCCCTCTGGCAGAGGGGAGGTTACCCAGTCAGGTGGTGGGGAAGGGGCAGAGGAATTAAAGAGTTTTGTAAGTAGAAGAAAATAATATGCAAAAGATCTGGAACTAAAAGCAAAATGGTGCTTTTTTTTACCATTTGAGACTGTAGCAGGTGTTGAGGAACTTTGAAAGATAGGGTAAGGTTAGTTAGGTAGGTAGAGTAGAGGCCAGAGGTCTCTGTGCCCAGGGGTCCCCATCACCTGGGCCGTGGACTCATACCGGTTCAGGCTGGGCTGCACAGCAGGAGGCGAACGGTTCGCAAGCAAAAGAAGCTTCATTCATATTTACAGCCACTCCCCACATCCCCCTCCTGTCAGAGCAGGCCATTAGATTCTCAAAGGAGCATAAACTCTGCTGCGAACTACACAAATGAGGGAGCTAGGTCTCATGATCCTTAAGAGAATCTAATGCCTGGTGGTCTGAGGTGGAGCTGGGTGGGGATGCCAGTGCTGGGGAGCGGATGCAAATACAGATCATCATTAGCGGAGAGGTTTGACTGCACAGAGACCATAGCAAATCGACTGCTTGCAGACTCATATCAAAACCCTCTCAGTGAGGGGCAAGTGACAATTAGGCGGCATCTGGTGGCAGACTATAAAGCTGTCCTCCCCACCCCCATGTATGGAAAAATTGTCTTCCGTGAAACCAGTCTCTGGTGCTAGAAGAGTTGGGGACCACTGTTGTAGCCGCCCACTATTTTAAAAACTATCCATGACTACAAGGGAAACATTTTATGGTAGCAATATTTTGTTGTTTATTTAACAGCATATATGAGGGGGGAATGTTGTTTATTTAAAAATGCATATATGAGAATTAAATATGTGGTTTTAACAATTCATGGGCATTGCCCAAGATCTGTAAGAGTACCCGATAAATTCGTAACATATCATTTCACCTGTACATTATGTCTGGGAATTACTTACCAGCCATTATGTGGGTGAAAAATTCTCTATTCCTTGTTAGATGACCTGTGTTATGTTCTTTATAATTTCAGCATATGTTTGGGATAGTCTGTGTATTAAGATTAAACATCCAAACCACTCAAATTATTTCTCAAGGATCTATAAGAAGAAGAAGGAACTTTTAAATGAAAACCTGTGTTTTGTTTAAAATATCTAAATCCAATAAACAAAAATTTGGAGTATTTTGAAGCAAAAAAACAGTCTTGGTGACCTTAGGTTTTTAAAAACTCAGAAGATAAACTACTCAAGATCAAACAATGTCCAGCTCTATAAAAAATAACATCAGGTAGTTAAAAAAAACTAAAAGAAAATGACATGTATAATTTTTGTCTTTTGAAAATAATTCCATTGGACTTTAAAATGATACTCATTGTACTTGTGAAAATGTATTTGATTTATGGATGTGAAAGCGTTCTCAGGAGAAACAGACTGGGGAATGGAACGAGGTAGAGGGAGCTGAAACTGGAGACGGAACAGTTGACAGTCTTATCTAGTAATCTTGGTGAGAAGTGATAACGGCTGGATCTAAAGTAGTAGCAGTAGGGACGTGATAAGGGGGCAGGCTGATAAATATTTAAAAGGTAGAAGCATCAAGATTTAGCGATGATATATGAGAAGTGAAGAATGCAAAGGGATTGAGAGTTTGACTCTCAATTTCTGACCTAGATTTTGTCTGTTCTACTAGAATTTGTTCTCTTAGCAGATGTCTTCTTTAACATGGACACAGATATGCTTCAAGAAGAATCTCTTCTTTTGGTGACATCTTTTCCTTCAGGGAGAGCTTGCCCTTTCTGTGCTTGCTTGCCTGCAAGCATTTACCCTTTTGGTATTGCTGAGTAGGAAGGTTGTTTTTATCCAGAAAGAGCAGTCTGAATTACTCTTATTCAAAAACAAAGACTGGAGTGTGGAGCTCTTGGAAGGGCAGATAAAGTGCTTCCCAGTCAAGTTAAAGGAGTTCACCATCACTAAGCCCTTACTTATTATGTGAAATGTTAAAGGGACTTACCTAAGATAAAGAAGATCAAAACTATGAACAGTAAAATGACAAACTCACACCTATCAATGACTGAACCTAAAAAAACAAAAACTAAGCAAACAAGTAAAACAGGAACAGAATCACAGAAATGGAGATCACATGGAGGGTTATCAGTGGGGAGGAAAAAGGAAGAGAATAGGGGGAAAGGTACAGGGAATAAGAAACATAATTGGTAGGTACAAAATAGACAGGGGGTGGTTAAGAATAGTATAGGAAATGGAGAAGCCAAAGAACTTACATGGACATGAATTATGAGGGGGGAATGCTAGAGGGAATGGGGGTACCAGGAAGAGGGGAATAATGGGGGAAAAAGGAATGGGACAACTGTAATAGCATAGTCAATAAATTACACTTAAAAGAAAAAGAAGCTCTATAGTCTGTCTTGGGACCCTCTCTCTGATCAGTGTGACCCATAATTGGGCATTTTACATTCCTATCGTGTCTTCTTGCTGTGAAGTTTATTAACCAATGAAGAACTATGCTCTCTCTCACCCTATAACACCCTTTGCCTGAAGTTTCAATCATTGACTCTGTGCTTGCAACTTTTTGCATGACTGTGATGAGTAATAGACTAAAAGAATCACCCACGGATTATTAACAGAAGGGGGAAGACACCCTGTGCAGGTCACACAGCAACACACCCCTTCATTCTGTATATTTATATTTCTCTTGAACTCGGAATAGTTTTATTTTATATATTTAAATATTGCTTTCTCGATTATGTTTGTTACATCTATTTGTGTCTTCCATATCCTCATCTTCTCTTTCATTCTTCCTATCTCTATTTTTTCTTAGTATCTTAGGATAGTATGTCAAGCTTATGCTGACATTAACTGATTTTCTACAGTGTTTATTTTCCTTTTTGCTGATTGTAGTCATTCCTAATTCTGTTACATATTTATTTTTGAAATACTTTTTTCTAAGTTTTATTATTTGGTTCTGTCATCTGCAAATACTGTGATAACTTCATTGCTTCTTTTATAATTTTGTCTATTTTCATTTTACATTAGCTAGACCAACAATTTTAGACAAATTTTAAA